TTTATTTTTATTTTTTTTATTTATACGTAGAATCACAACCGTTGCCTTTCAAATAGTTTAATAGAATCCAACATCACAGCACCCGTCTAAGTGCATTGCTAAGCAACATGTTCTATTGAAAGTCCCGGGAGAGATAACTTCTGTTTCTATTTCACTGTCTCGAGTGACTCAGTGTGTAAACGGCGCGAATAGACGTTTCGCTGGTTTCTTGTTCGTGCAATTGATACAAACGCACTTATCGAAAAAACTACTGTAACTCGGCATAATTAAAATGAAATATTTCACTACGCGACAAAGTAAGTGAACACACGTGTAAAACACGCACACAATACGCAAAGAAATCTTATACAATCCGCGTGAAGCGATATATTATAAAAGATCACTTGTGAACGAAACGTTCCGTAGCGTTCCGTAGCGTTACGCTAACTGATCGTCGAAAATTAATCGATGCATTGTTTCGCGTTCTCCGCGAGGATTTCTACACATACGAAAAATGCAAACTTTCCGCCCGTTTAGAGAGTGATACTTATAATATCCAATTTGTTTCTAAAACGTCCATTTCCTTTATTTCTTTATTTATAATTAATTTATATATAAGTTTCTTACATATTATATATATATATATATATATATATATATATATATATATATATATAAGTAAATAAATAATCGATGTACATTTAGTGTTAAGGCACTATGTGGCCGGCCGGCCTCGTAATACATTTCTATACAATCTTTAAGTACATTTTTTTCAGGATCCACTGTGTTTAAAAATCTAGTCTTGGTCTTAAATTGAAGCTTAGGATGTCCTTCATGAAATGAATAGAGAGAATTGTAATATCTTTTTTGGTTCGTTCGCAATCTCACAACAAAGATGGAGTATGCCACTGATGACACTTTTGATCACTCAAACGGCCATAAGTTCTGAACAAAAAATACTATCAAAATTCTGTCTATTCATTTCATGAAGGACATCCTAAGCTTTATTTTAAGACCAAGATCAGATTTGTAGGCCCAGTGGATCCTGACAAAAATGTACCTAAAGATTGCATATAAATGATACTAAGCCAGCCGGCCGCGTAGTGCCTTCAATAAGGACAACACGATATCGCTTCGTTTTGGAGTATAAAGCGGAGAGAGTGAGAT